CCATAAAGATGTGACAGCTGTTGGAGGAAATAGATATGTTCGACCTGATTTAAATATTAGGCAGCGTGTACATGATCAAAATAACCACACAGGACCCCCTAAAAATTGTCAAGAAAAAGAAGATGTTAAAAGGAAAATGGAACGAGATAAAACACAACAGAGACTAAAATAGATTTACCTTACTGTGGATAGATAGCAAAACAAGGATTTGGGGGAGAAAAAAAAAAGTTGCAATAAACAAACCTGCCCCGCTTACCTCTAACTTGAAGAACAGTATTTCCTATCTCCAGCTATGTCATCGACCTCGGCTTGTCAAATAACCATTGCTTCCAGCCTCAGAGTCGAATATCTACTATCATTAGGCGCTGTGCTTGGCTCTGAGCTTGTAAATGCCATCCTGGGCCCTGGGTCTGTCGCTATCTTTTCTACATTGCTCTGCACGGTCCTTTTTTGTCTACAGAAGAAGTGAGGGAAGGCTCTTTGCAAGACAGTTCACCTTTCTTGCCCCACCTCTGGTCTTCACCTGTTCTCAAGACTGGGTTCTCAGAAACCTCCCAGCGCTCCCCGAGGGAGGGCCTCTCCAGTGGAGCACACGCTCTCAATTCCACTGCCCCGACGGGCGGTTCCATCTTCCCATAGAACCTCCGCTCTCTCGTTCCACTCGCTTAGTTCTTATTAGATCTCCAAGGGCTGAGCACGACTTCAGCTCTTTGCAGAGACTGCCTTAGTCCATTTTCTGTTGCTAGAACAGAATAGCTGAGACTGGGTAATTTGTAAAGAATACAGGTTTATGTGGGCTAACGGTTTCAGAGTTTGGTAAGTCCCGAAGCGGCCTCACAGATGGCAGAAAGTGGAAGGGCAGGCACGCGTGTGGGAAGAGACACAGCACCGGGCAGCCTCGCTTGGTAACAACCTAAGTGAGGCCACTGATCCAGTCCCGTGAGAACTCATGCTGGAGAGCAAGGCATTAATCCCTCTCAATGATCTCATCCCCTCTTAAGGCCTCCCCTTAACACCACCTTCACTGCAATCAAAATGAGTTTTTCAGAGGAGCCAAACCATAGGGGAGTGGAGGAGACCCAGACCGTCATCTCCATATTCAGCCGACAAATCTTCCATTGCCTGCACACTGTTGGCTGCTCTGCAAAATCCTCTGTCTCAGCTGGTAAAATAAATTTTCCTAAAGGGAGCTGGGCGTGGTGGCACACGCCTATAATCCCAGCACTTGGGAGGCTGAGGCAGGAGGATCACTGTGAGTTCAACACCAGCCTGGGATACATAGTGAGTTCCAGGGAAGTCTGAACTACTTAGTGAGACCCTGTCTCCAAAAAAAAATTTTTTCTTGAAGGAATGAACTTTAAATACGTAGCAAGAATGCTTGAGAGCTGAGGCTGTGTACTTCCTCTTGGTGTCACCCCAGGCAGTACATGGTATCGGCGGTGTTGGGTTTTAGCTGCTTTGTTAAGGTTGTGACAAATTGATCTCTTTGTTATGAAAGTCAGTTTCCCCTTTGAATTTAGCAAGCAATACTGGGGAGAAAGTAGTGATATTTTAGCACAAGAAACCTAACTCTGTTCTCCCAAAACATACCTAATGTCTCTTTTTTTTTTTGGTACTAGGGATCAAACTTGGGTCCTTGCACTTGCGAGGCAGGCAGTGGAACCACTGAGCTAAATCCCCAGCCTGATACCTAACGTCTTCTCCCAACCCTTTTATTATCCATTGATAATGCTGTAGACAGTTATCACAGTGGGGTTTGCAAAAGGACGATTTACTTGAGTCTATAATTTCTTTGACATATGATTTGTGAAAAAATAATTTTCTCTCTACAATAGGTATGAATTATAGATTCTTGTTAAAACGGTGGAAAAATGCTCAGTCTTCTTTTTCATTCATTTCAGAGCAAAATACTAGTGTAACAGTTACCTCCACAAATGGCAAATGATTTTTTTTTCATTTGTAGTAATCTTAATGATAGTTTGTTTCTATAAATGTACTGCCTTTCAACAAAGGGGCATGAAGAAGAGATTGGATTAATACACATCACATGAATCCAGTTATATAAAACACTGGATTCAAATGCTAGGGCTTCAACTTGTGAGCCTTGTGACCCGAAACAATCTACTTAAATTTCTTCAGCCTCATGGTCCATTCACCACGCATTTCTCTTGACAGGTATTAAATGCTATCGTATGAGAAAGGGAGTCTTTAAGGCTAGAATTCTACTGGAGCCTCCAGAAGCTACTAAGTTACAGAGGCTGCTGCTGCTGCTGCTGCTGCTGCTGCTGCTGCTGCTGCTGCTGCTTGAAAGATTCATAAAATCTCCACAGTGGCTTTGTGAAGGAGCAGAGCAGCAAGTTACAGAAAGTCCCATAACATCTGATAACAGTTATGCATTTTAAAAATTACAACACAATATGAGATCTTGTGGGTGGAGATAGACTGGTAGATATAAAGCCAGAGGTGTGCTGGTTGCCTCCAGGAAAGGAGATCTTTTGGGTAGCTTGGTCTCGCTAAAAGAGCTCCTGCAATTTATCCTAAGGAAATATTTCTTTCTTTTTTTCTTTTTTCTTTTTTTTTTTTTTTTTTTTTCTTTTTTCTTTTTTTTTTTCTTTTTTCTTTTTTTTTTTCTTTTTTCTTTTTTTTTTTCTTTTTTCTTTTTTTTTTTCTTTTTTCTTTTTTTTTTTCTTTTTTCTTTTTTTTTTTCTTTTTTCTTTTTTTTTTTCTTTTTTCTTTTTTTTTTTCTTTTTTCTTTTTTTTTTTCTTTTTTCTTTTTTTTTTTCTTTTTTCTTTTTTTTTTTCTTTTTTCTTTTTTTTTTTTTTTTGGTACCAGGGATTGAACTCGGGTCCTTGCGCTTGCAAGGCAGGCCACCGAAACACTGAGCTAAATCCCCGGCCCCATCTGAGGAAATATTTCAAAAGAAAGAATACTTGTTTTTGGCAATAATCACTACAGATAGCTCAGTGGTTCCACTGCCTGCCTCAAGGCAAGGTCCCGAGTGTGATCCCTGGTACCAAAAACAAACAAACAAACAAAATTATAAGCATATTAAAGAAAATTATGGCAACAGCAGCTTGGTGGAACGGTAGCCGAGCCATTTATAAGGCCGTTGTGAGATGGTAACGGCGTGAACAGATGCAAGACACGTTACTAAGTAAAACTTTGTCATGTGGGAATGAGGAAGTCGGCTGTGACTGCTGCGGGGACCGCTAAGCTCGCCCTCCGGGCGGGGACAGACTCCGCAGCCACCTCCCCGCTCCTCCTTCCCGGCCCCCTTCTCCAGCGTGCAGCTCATCAGCAAGCCGTGGCGAGCGACTCTTCCCAAAATCACCCTCTCCTCTCCCCTTCCGTCCCCACCACCCTACCCGAGCTGCAGAGTCTCGTGTGCATTGCAGTCAGCTTGTGCCCCCTTCAGCCCACCCGTCCCACACTGGCCATTTCCTTCTTGGAGAAGGAAGATTACCGTAGTCCTCGCCCGAAAACTCTCACAAGGTCTCCGCTGTACGAAAGACAACTCCGGAGCCTGCCACGGCCCCGGGGGCTGCTGCCTGCGGCTCTGTCCCCTCAGCTCAGCATCGTGGGCCTCTGGGTAGCTCCTGTGCAGGGATGGAGCCCAGGGCCTCACGCAGGCCAAGCAGTTAAGTCGTCTCCGCTGAGCTCCAGCCCCAGCCCTTATATTTGAGTATTGTAAACTTTATTTAAAAAAGAAGAAAAAAAAAAAACCCAGTAAAATTGTGAACATCATAATCTTAAACTGTCTTAGTAAAAACCTGGCATGATCCGAACGTGTAAGAAATCTTAGAGTACACTGGGATGGAAACGACCCAGAGAAGACCAGTGTGGTTCCTGTGGGAGGACGACACACGCGTTCGTGAAGTTTTCCACGTATGTCAACAAAAACCGTGCGAGCTGAAATTACGGTCGGGTCTTCGCCGGCCCAGATGGCCGAGCCACACACAGCAGCTTCATTTCTGGGCTCCAGCCTCACTCCTCGGAGCTCTACAACGGCTTTTGAAGGATAAAGAAACTTTGCACAATGTAAGTGATAACTGTTCTTGAGAGGAACGTGGGAACCGTGGAAACAAACCTAAAAGCGGGACTCATGTGTAGGAAAACAATACGAGGATCCACTGTTCTAAGTTCCTGCAAAAACTAAGAATTTAAAAATCTCTTTTAAAAGCTATTTATAGTATTTTGGATGATTCTTTGCTATTTTAAGAAGTAACTCGGGCCAGGGATGTAGCTCAGTGGTTCTGCCACCCTGCCTTGCAAGCGCAAGGAGCCGAGTTCGATCCCTGGTACCAAAAAAAAAAAAAAAAAAAAAAAAAAACC